CCCGTCAGCCAACCCGTCATTTGAGTTGTCGGGGTCAAAAAAGCTTAGCTGTTTGCTATCAGTTCCATTCATGTGAATGGCATCTCTAGCCATCTTTCAGACTTCGATTTTCACAAGGACAGCAAACGTGATTACGTGATTGACGTATTAAAGCACCTGCTGAGTAAATGTTTACCAATCAAATGCTACTGCCTTTAATTAAAGGGCACCGCTGTAAAGCAGTAATGGTGCGTATGACCAGCGAAATGTTTAGTGTGTTGAAAGAGGGAAGAATCTGGTAAAATAGCAGAACGGAGCCAAAAGCTCCTTGAAAAACATATGAGTTTTGTGAAACCGAGGCTTCGCAATCAGGTCAGTTCTGATTCAATTGCCTTCGCTGTGATTGCAAAATCACCGCTATTCCCATAGTACAGTATAGGAGACTAGCTTTCTTCTTGTTAGGACTTACAGTTCATAAATCTCGATTCCCAGGGACAACGTTTCCACGATTGGGTGTGGTCCCGAATAGTGAGTTTTACAGATCAATTACAGTGGAAAAAAGGAGCAGAAAAACCGTCGAAAACAACTGAAGCCTGTAATCCGATTGCTGAATGGCGGTGCGCTCGCTTGCAGGCGTCTAATTGGTGGAAAGGCTGAAGGATGGCGCTTGGGCCCAAACTGCGACTTCGGAGCCTCTGGAAGCAAGGTAAATGTAAGCTGTAAATGTACTCTTCGATGTATTCTAGCAAGATGCCCCTTAAGACAAACAGCATTCATGAAGGATCATTTTGATACATAGGTGAGTGCCAAGGATCATTATCAAGCAGAGCGAAACTTTGGGATTTGTCCTTGGGATCACGCGTGATAACAGGGCCATGTCATATCTGGTATAGCTCTGCAGGTCTATCTTTTCCCTTTGGCAACCTTGTGGAGCCTATCTGCCTGATTTACAACGACATTCAGTTCTCGATAGCAAGGACTATATCCACCAACACCAAAGGCGTCCGTCCGTAACAAAGAAGTGAGTTTACTATGAAAAGATAATGCTAGCGCCAACTCGTGCGCATATTCAAGAGGAACGAAATTGTTCGCCGCTACGCGCTGTGCACGTAGGTGCACCGTAGGGCTGTTCCCAACTTAGTGGTGCTACACTCGGCTTCGCCACCAGAGTGGTTGGCAATGAAAGGATGACATCTTTTCTGAGTGCAGCGCAGGCGTTTCTTCTCTCGACTTCTGCTGAGTTACCGTGCCCCAACTCAAGGACAGTGGATCGGGGACTGCCATTATTTCCAACTGATTCTTTTAGCTCCAATATCTACCACGAATCCAGTTGTACCCAACTGCGGGAACACTGGAGCAATGGAATTTCCCCTTGCTCTCCGTAACAAAGTCTACAAAAATCAGGACCGGAATATCAGGAAGATGCTTGAAGTCTTTATGGAAAATATTGTTTACAGTGTCACAGGTCTTTTCAACTAGCTCAATACAATCTTGTGCGATCAGCACTGTATTGTTGCTCATTTAGTGGCTAGCACAATGATTGCCTACAGCGAAAGTTACTGTTTTTCCTTTCGCTGAAAATCAATTTTGTTAGAGCTGCAGCTACAAACATCATCTTTGACCATTCCATGCTACCTCTAACTATTTACGAGTGCGACGATTCCTGTCTTGCTGCAGCTTGCACTGTGTTTACCGCGTACAGGGCGGGAGCACGATAAGCCAAAACTGTATTGGCCCAGTTGACAGCTGATTATCAGGAATCAGAATTATGTCTATCAGCTTCCCAGTGAACTCCATCGTTCTCACCCTACTTGGATTTCTTTGCAAAGCTTCACTTTGATACTCCCTCCTTCCTTCTCTTTATTGCTGATTCCACAGCAGCCGATGAGTTGCTAAAATGCAAGTTATGTCGCTGATGTACAGCATAATACTTGGAAATTCCCCTTGCTCCCATGACAAAGCCATAAACTCGCCTTTCCTTTGGCCCACGAGAAAGCAAAGGAGCCGAGACCATTCCTAACCCATTTCTACAACGTAGTCACCACTACACTCAGCGAACCGTGTTGGCACTAGAGTCGTCATGCTTCCCGCTTGTTGGAAGCGCCGTCTGAACTCTCACTCTTCAGTGAAGGAGGTCGCGGTATAAAAGATATAGGGTCATCGACTCGCCAATAGAGTGAGGGTGGCGTGCAGGCGCCAGTAGTATTAGGTTGTCCGGAAAGTTTTGAGAAATTTTCCCACTTTTAAGTTCAAAGAATGTGTAGGCGAGCGAATGCCACAACCGAACGATCGAACAAGAAAGTCATGTATCAAGTGCTATGTGGAGGAAAATGTTTCTAGATCAATAATTATGCTGGTTGGTATTATTCTCCGTTGTTGGTATGATTTGATATTACCTGAAAAATGTACGAGCGCGCACGACTTCAAACGCCTTTATACGTCATGCCACCCGTTCTTGCTCCTCTAGGTGAAATCGGGACGAGGAACGCGTCTCCGATGGCTGATATAAATGCGTTTTAACATTTTTTATAACTAGAGATTCGGCACTTCAACGGAAGTTTGGCTTTAGTATGTTACGCACGCACCCCATCATTTTCATTATCGCTTAGTTTCTGAGCTCACGCAAGTAATCCTCGCTAAAAGGTAGGGACATAGGATGGACATATTTATTTACTATATTTATTATACTAATCGGAGTCTAAACCTCATTTGTTGATAAGTTGTTAAATAGCCAGTTGAAATTTTCTCAAAACTTTCCGAAACACCCTAAATAATTTAGATAAAGCGGCTGGGCACGTTTCATTTGGGACGGTAGACAAACTGGCATCTTTCGGGATTGACAGTTTGAACGTCTTCTGGTGATCGCCGAGTTGGCTTTGAAGGGAATTCAGCGCGCAACATAATGGTGTTTTAAATGGTGTCTCCGCTGTGGTCAGCGGTTACAAGTTCATTGCAAACACAGACGTTTAAAATAGCCAGTGCCTCCTATTCGGCTGGCATGAAACTTGCCTTCGCAAAGCTTCCTAGTCGGAGTCGAAAGCTTTCGACGTCGTCATGTCCGCAGGTGTCACTTGAAACTTGATGGAAATTCCTCAATGAGGAAAATTCAGGAGATGCAGGAGGTTCATACATCGATGGATTTACTATTGTGAACAGGGTATTGACTGGTTTGATCTGCGAATCATTGGATTAGTTTTTCTGAAATTATGGAATAGCGACAGCTTCCGACTGAAAAGCCGCCCCTGAAACGCCTATTAAGAACTAGTAATGTGTCTGTAGAGGCGAACTTTAGAGGAGGGTGCTGTAGGTGTTGTTGACGTTCCACGTAATTTGACAGGTGCCAAGAGGCATGGAATGTGAAGTGTGATCACCTCTGACTGTGATTTCTCCCAGTTCGGGCTGGTTCGGTAGAAAAGAAGTAATGGTAGAAAACGCCGCGGGTGGGCTCACACCACCCTTCCTGACGCCGCCCGCCGATTGCGACAATATTAACAGTACCTATACATTTAAAATGAGGTATGCGTTGTCGCAAGTAGTGGGAAATTCCTCAAAGATGCGGCTCTAAATCAGCCACCTCATTGAGAAGCGATTCGTAGTCTTAGCAGGTTACTCCAGAGCTTGTACTGCGAATGGGACTTCGTGAACTACTCGGTGGCTATTACTATGTTGCTATTGTAAACCGAATTACTTCACTTGCAGTGTTGCAAGCTTATATTTGGTTGTCCGGAAAGTTCTCAGCGTTTTGTGCACCTATTTTTTGTACATTCACTGCTGATTAAAAACTCATTCTGCCTTGCTTCTCAGTAGCACATCCTGTAGAGAATTTCTTGCGCTATCTGATGGTATAATTGCCGTTTCACCATTGCTTGATAAACCCCCTTTTTTCAAGATTTTTCAAGCATGTGAAAAGAGCACTTCGGACGATTTTTTCTTCGACTATAAATTGGGGCAATCCGCAATCGATAGCAGCTTCAAACAAATTAACCATGGTTGGAGGCGCCCAATATGTGCAAGAGAAAAGCACTGTGGGGCGGCAATGGCTCAACAAAATTTCGTTCTGGGATTCAGCCTTGAAAGATGAAACTTCATAGGCGGTCTCGACCTAAAGCAATTCTGAGGGATTTTAGGGGATTTCGGAGGCTGACCCATCCCAAACAGTTCGAGAGATAGCAGAAGAGCTAGGCGTTGGCAAATCCACTGTTGCAGATGGTCTGGAATGCATTGGGAAGTGAAAACTCGACAATTGGGTGCCCCACAATCGGAGTGACCGGCAGGAATCGGCACGTCTCGAGGTTCCTTCTGCATTGCTTTTGCGCAGCAGAAACGACCTGTTTTTGAACGGATTTGTCACCTGTGATGAAAAATGGGTCATGTGTAATGATAACAGGACGACGTTCCGGACAGTGGTTGGATTTCGACGAACCACCGAGGTAATTTTCAAAGCCGAACCCTCACGAAAAAAAAAGATTCTGGTCACGGCTTGGTGGTCATCGGCTGGTGTGATCCACTATAACTTTTTATCACCAGGCCAAACCATCACAGCAGAACCTACTGTGAAGAAATCGACGAATTGTACCGAAAATTTTGTCAGATGCAGCCAACACTTATCAAAAGAAAGGGTCCGATTCTTTTGCATGACAACGCCCGCCCACACGTTTCACAAATCACTATCCATAAATTGAACGAATTGGGGGTTGAAGTTCTACCTCAACCGCCATATTCTTCAGACCTTTCGCCAATCGACTATCACCTTTTAACATTTTCAGAACTCCCTTGCTGGAAAATACTTCATCAATCAGGACCAGGCAAAAAGCCTTCGTGGATTTCGTGAATTTTCGACCACCCAGTTTTTTACTTTGATGGGATTTCCTGCTGTCACATTGGCAAAAGTGTGCTGATTCGAATGGTGCCTATTTCGATTAAATCCGATGAGTATTAAAAAAGTTACGATCGTTTAAAGTGAAACACCCAAAACGCTGAGAACTTTCCGGACAACCTAATATTTCTCTGTTTGAATATCAATGTTTATAAGAAGAAGGGAAATACAGATGGTGATGCGCCGCATTCTAAACGTTTTTTGCAAGTGCTTTAAGGCATGTGAAAGAGTACTTACCAATGCTAACATTCAAGATCGCTGACCGCGGACTTCGATGCATTCAATTCTGAGCTAATTGTGTCTTCGTCTTCAAATTTTAATTTCTACTAGCTAATGCTATACATTTATAGTCTTTAGGTCCTGACCCAGACGATCTTCTCGATGAAGGTTACACAGATGGAAATGGTGAGTTTGAGCTTCAGGGCGGCACCATGGAGCTCACACCGATTGACCCCATTTTCAAGGTATAGTCATCGACGTGGCGAACGACCGGCATCGAAGGTTAACTACATGTTCTGAATTCTGAAGAAAAGATTAGCTATTGGTAAATTTCATACATGAAATACATTTAAGCCTGGCTCAAGAAAAGTCAAATTTGCTCTACCGAAGTCCTACATTACTAATGGAAAGACACCCAAGAAAACATTTGACATGGGTGAGTACACTTCATTCTTGGAAGGCCCTTCGGCAATAGATCCTCTCATCGAGAAATGTTTAGGAATACTGAACCTGGAAACAATTTTTGCCAAGGAAGAACGAGAGATGATTGTAACAAGAAGGAGGAGAGGACGGGTTTATGATGAGGACGATAGAAGCAGCAGCGATGAATCCATATAAGATCGCTAAATCTTAAGAAGACTATAGAAGAAAGTTTCAGATTTCCACACCAATTCATACTTCAGTGTATCGTATAGAATGAACTATTGCTCATTTTCTATTACCTCATAAAATTAGGCGCTGATTTGTGATGTACTTCTTAGTATTATACTTGTCGATGAACCTGAAGTTTTATAACAAGTAAAGCTCCGAAAATATTTGTTCCCAAAAATTAGAAGAATAAACTGTCCGAAAGATTCTGAAAAGGGATCAGGAATGAAGCGAAAAGGTTTTTACAGGAATCCCTTTTTTAATTTCGAGTATTTCGATGTGATACGTTAAGATTTTCACACGGCGTTTTATCACCGGTTTCCTCGCCAATCCCACGGGACATTCCTGCTGCAGTTTATGGCGACGTTTGCTTGTATGGGATTAATAAGAAAAGTGGTGATCAAGAGCTTCTAAGGAAAAGTCCCACATACACTTCCCACAATGCTATATTTCTTCGAGGAGGGTAACGTTAGCTCAATGGAGTGTTCGGCACAGTTTCCTGGGGTATTGTGTGAGCTCGGACCCGCACCATCTTCCGCGAACCAACCTATAGCACTCGACTAATGTGGTCCCTGATCAGCTAGAGAGTCCACGATCGGCTTCAGAAGCATCATCGGTGCTATTCTAACCAATATGATGTGCTGTGTAGAATTGCATACGGAGAACTCGCCTTGTAAGTGTGATTTTTTTGTTAGGTCGTAGTGAATGGGAATAACGGAAGTTTTTTTTTTAAATTTCTCACTATACAGAACAACTTTTTTGGGTGAGCCGCCGCCGCTAGCTGTACTGGCCAGCCACTTATATTGTCCAATCGATCTTAACGTTCTGTCGCCAGACAGGACAACGATAAG